TATAAGTGATATCATATTTGTCTTTCTCTGTCTGACTGACTTCACTTAGTTTGATACTCTCTAGGTCCATTCATGTTGCTGCAACCTCCTGGCTACTTCTAAGGCCACACACTTTGGCTTGGCTAATCTACAAGCTGGCCCCTGTCTTTATTTACTAAACACATACAGTGTACAAGGTCACATTAATTGCTCCTTCCTCTCTTGCAAATCACATTCGGTTTTGATATTATAGCTGATTTAAAGCAAAGCAAAACAAAACAAAAAATGAAATACTCAACTCAAACCCACACTTCTCCACGGTCTTTCCTAATTAATACTGAACTTTTCTGATTGCCTCAAGCTCTGTTTCTTTATCATAACCTAGGTAAACTGTTTTTACTATGCAATATTTTATTTACTGAATGTAACTTTGTACGTGTTAGGTCATTTCATACATGTGTGTTTTGCTTTCCAGCCAATTAAGATGGTAAAGAACTAAATCTTTTTTTCTCTGGCTCACATATTGCCTGGCAGTGTTCCATACGCAGAACTTCCTCAATATGCTTACTGATGAAACAAATCTTTTGATGGCCACAAAATTCCAAGAACTTTGCCTTTTCCCCCCAGATGTAATATTTTCTTACTGTTCCCAGACTGAAGTTGAAATACAGTCAATCTTTATTATTCACAGATTCTATATTTTGTGAAGTTGCCTCTTCACGGAATTTATTTTGAACTACAAAAGCAATACTTACAGCACTTTCGTGGCCATCGGTGGACCTGAGCAGAGTGGCAAAAATGTTGACTTGCCCAACTGTGCACATTTCCAGCTGAGGTCTAGCAAGGCAGTGCTCTGCCTTCTTGTTTTAGGTCTCATACTGTAAAGAAGTGTCCTTTTCATGGAAAATTGAATTCTATGCTTTTTGCATTTTTGTGCTTTTTTTTGGTGATTTCGTTGTTTAAAATGGCCCCCAAGCGCAGTGCTGAAGCACTGTCTTGTGTTCCTTAGCGCAAGAAGGCTGTGATGTGCCTTATGGAGAAAACATGTGTTTGAGATAAGCTTAGTTCAGGCACAAGTTACAGTGGGGTTGGCTGTGAGTTCACTGTCAATGAACCAATAATAAATATCAAACAAGGTGTCTTTAAATAGAAGCACACAGAAAAGAAGGTTATGTATTGATTGGTTGACAAAAACATTTTGACCAGAGGCTTCTTACTCCTGTATTTCCTCTGCAAGCAATTGTTCAGTATTCACGAATTCAGTGTTTGCAGCAACTTAATAGAACCTACGACACCAAATAATGAGAGCTGACTATACTTAAATACTTGAAACATGGTTTAGAACTGCACAACCTGAAATACTAGAAAGAGTTCATTTGCTCATGAATACTATTCTAATGAGTATGGACCTAGATTGTCCTAAACTTTAACAATTTATTTTACACTCATCAAACACATTCTGCCTATTTAAAATACTCTGTTGTTTCCAGAACAATTGACTCTCATTCCACAAATAAATTATGAACTATACAACATAGTTTGATGTGACTCATATATATGAAAGCATTATTGCCTAAGCTATTATAATTCTCTTGGAAACAAACAAAATTCTAAGAGCCTATTTTTGCCATATTTCTTATGAACAAAAAAATGTGTTCAAAACCACACCATCAGTGTGACAGCACTGAATTCTCAAATGCAGTATATGGCCCACAGTTAGCTATAGGAAGCATTTTTAGATCTAAGCGACATCTGAAAAAAATTAAAGGAAATGGAATTAGTTACTAATTTCATCTGTTTGAGGAAGAAGAAGAAACTTATTATCGAATTACCTGATGATCTGAGTTTATTTTTGTAGAGTTATTAATCCTCCCAAAGATTTCATTGAATTGTCCTAAAATAAATTCCTTTGCAATGTAGAGGATGAAATCTCCTAAACAATCAGCTGAGCTATACGTTTTCTCTTGGAGAGCAGTAGAAAGAAAACTGAGCTAGAAGTCAAGAACCCAGTGTTCTGTTCCCGACGACCACACTTAGAGTCATTCTGATTGAATTGTGCACGTGCCCTCTTGATATATATCTCTTATTTGGAAAGAAGAACTGCAGTAGATGGTCAGCTTCCCACATCAGTGGACACAACAAAAAGATGACAAAGCTCCTGGACCTGATTGCAAATTTTTTGTAGTACCAAAGTGGTAACAATAACAGTTGTGAAAATTTATCCTCCACTTACCCTGTGCCAGGCACTGTGCTAAACAGTGTACATGTGGTAACACAATGCACCCTCCCAGCAGCTACATGAGACATCCCCTTTCCAGAAGAGGAAATGGAGGATTGGGAGGCTTTTGATTTGTCCCCGTCGTTCTGCTCAGGAGGTGAGGGTACCCAGTTTTGAACAGTATGCTAAGTCCATTGCATGAGCTCCTAAACATTATTTTTCATGTGTGATTTCAGGCATAATTTCAACTTTTCGCAGTTTTGAAGGTCTCAGATGACAGTTTAGCATGTATTGAGGCACACACCCCTGACCATTAAAGGGAGGTATGCTCCTGGCATCTCTCATGAAAGATGATTAACATAATGGCCATAATCTTTCACAATGCTATTAAATCAATCAATTGATAAATAAGATCAGTCTTGGGTTCAGAAGATAAAGAGATTTTGAATCTTTAGCTCTGTGTAGCTGATGGGATATTTGCAAATATACAGTTAGGAAAAAATGAAGAGAGCGACTGTTCTTTGTTCAGTTTGGGTCTATTTGAGCAAAGCCTTTGACAAGATGGGAAAGTAGCCCTTGTTTGTAAATTCTGAAGTCTGGGGACTCACTGACTTCTTTCCAAAGGTGCCTTGTCAAATGCTGTGCCTATGGCGAATGGAGCTACACAAAATTGTATCAACCAAATCTTGGCATTCCAAAGCAGAGACCAAGCTACGTGGTGCAGCCAGTTCATTTTCCTTGGAGACATTTCTGTCTCTCCTTCCCTACCCAACCGCACTTAAAAAAACAAAAACAAACAAACAAAGATGAAGGGCATCTTATCACTAACTTAAGAATGTGTAAGACATTTTCTGAGGATGTATTATGTTAGAAATGCTTTGCAATCAAAATTTATGCAAGATATCTAATCTTCAAGGACTTTCGTTTTTCATCATTAGTAAACAGCACAAAGAAGTTAAGACACCTAAAATTACAGCTAGAAATCAGGGGAGACTTTTTTTGAGTTCTAGAAAACAAAAGATAAGGAATGAGTAGGTTGGGACACTCAGGCCAAGTCATATGACTATTGACCACATCCTAGATGCAGATCAGTTCATCTTGATCAAATGTCTTGTGCCCAGATGACTGGTGGTGGGGTGGAGGCAATGAACCCGCCTGCTGCCTCTGTAATGATCACCCACTCTCCTCCTCCAGGCAACTGAAGGGCGTCTGGGTGTGGTAGGGATCCAGCAGGCTCACTGCTTCACGAGAAGTACCCCCCAAGTACAGAGCCTGATGAGCTCTTTTATCATGACCAATAGTGAAGGAATGGATTTTATGAAATAGTTCTATTTTGCATTTTTGCTTTAGTTAATGGGACTGAGTCCCCCTAAATCCGAATTCCCCTACTGAGTTTATGATTATCCTCTCTATCCAAAATCTTATTCCCTTTCTTGCGACTTCCCTGGTGGTGCAGTGGTTAGGAATCCACCTGCCAATGCAGGGGACACAGGTTCGAGCTCTGATCCGGGAGGATCCCACATGCCACGGAGCAACTAAGCCCATGCACCACAACTACTGAGCCTGCACTGTAGAGCCTGCGAACCACAACTACTGAGCCCGTGTGCCACAACTACGGAAGCCCGCGTGCCTAGAGCCCGTGCTCCGCAACAAGAGAAGCCACTGCAATGAGAAACCCGCACACCGCAACGAAGAGTAGCTCCCGCTCACCGCAACTAGAGAAAGCCCGCGTGCAGCCAAAAATAAATAAATAAACAAAACCTTATTCCCTTTCTTGTCCAGCCCCTGTTCCACTCAGGACTGAGGCATATCAAGAAAAGTGGAGGGCTTCCTTGGTGGCGCAGTGGTTAAGAATCCACCTGCCAATGCAGGGGACACAGGTTCGAGCCCTGGTCCGGGAAGATCCCACATGCCATGGAGCAACTAAGCCCATGTGCCACTACTGAAGCCTGCGTGCCTAGAGCCTGTGCTCCGCAACAAGAGAAGCCACCGCAATGAGAAGCCCGTGCACCTCAATGGAGAGTAGCCCCCACTCGCCACAACTAGAGAAAGCCCGTGCCCAGCGACGAAGACCCAACACAGCCAAAAATAAATAAATAAATTTATTTTTAAAAAAAAGAAAAAAAGAAAAGTGGAGATTGAAACCTAGCAGGACCCTGTGATTCCTCCCTGGGTACAAAAGCCCCTCTGTGTTCCCTGTTTCTTCTTTGTAGAGAAAAAGGCTTTAGTCTCTCAGGCCTTGCCTGCGTTCCAAAGAGCAGACTCAAGCAGTTACTAATTAGAGAAGTGAGGGAATTCAGAAACAAAGGAAAAGCAGTCAAGCAAGAAAAGTAATGGTAGCTTAAACAATAGTTGAGCAATAAAACAGAGTCCTAGTTCCTCCTCAAGGGATGTACACAACAATCTGACACATATTTTTGAGTTGTTCTGCAGGAACTAAGACACCCCCCCCCCCAACCCAGGTGGAGGATGCTGACCATAAGCACGTGGAACCAGAGGACTGATGCTTAAGGTTCCTGCCACATCACTCTGTTACCTCCCCACCAACCAATCAAAAGAAAGTCCACGAGCTGATCACACATCCTGCGACCCTCACCCCAGATGTTGCCTTTAAAATCCTTCCCTGAAAGCCAAAGGGGAGTTCGGGTCTTTTGAGCATGAGCTGCCTGTTTTCCTTGCTTGGTGCCCTGCAATAAATGCTGTACTTTCCTTCACCACAACCCAGTATCAGTAGATTGGCTTTGCTGCTCATTGGGAGAGCAGACCCAAGTTCGGTTCAGTAAGTTGGTGACACAATCAAGACTATAATTCACTATGGGGCATGTTTGTTTTAAAAGAGAAAGAAATTACTTTGGATTGTTACAGGAAACTGACAGCTTTCAAGTGCTTATTTGAGGAAGTTGGTGGCTTATAAAGAATTCACACTTGCAGCATTCTGCCAATCATTTCCACTTTGTTGCTTATGACTGGGACCAGATGATCTGCCCAGTTAGACTGTTTCTTGAGGTGCTTCCACTCTCTCCTCAGGAAGCCTCTCCTGCTTTGCTTCTTCTGGAAGTCTCTCTGTTTCCTGAGTCTGAAGAGTCCCTTCCTCTGGCTAGAGAAGAAAAAAAGAAAAGGGTCTTTTGAGATCTTGGCCTCAAGTCTTCCATCTTCCCAGAGCAGCCCCACAGTGGGTACCCGTGGAGATGTGTCTAGAGAGACGCATGGGACAAATATTGTCTAACTTATCTGACTGCACATCAGAAACATCACATGGTTCGTTGCACAGGAAGGCCTGGGAGCTCTGTAAACACAGCCCCCCGTCTGTGTTCACTCACCCATGACTTACTATTTTTGCAAGGTGCCTCGCACGTAACAGATTCTCAGAATAACATTTATTTACTGATAAATGCCATTTATAGCTGATTAAATTTGGTGTCGTGGTCATCTCAATAAAAAGTTGGTCCTCCAACTCTTGGACTGGAAGACAGCTTCCCGGTATAACTTTGAGTCAATGAAAAAACCAGATGTGATTTGATTAGTCTGACCCACTCTCAAGTTTGAGAATTACCAGTATTTAAGAGAAGTTGTGGTTTGTTAGCTGTCAGCTGTAGACATACACAACTTGTGTGTTTCCTCCATTTTTTCCCTTCTGTCCCTCTCCTTCATTTCTGTGCTCTGCTTCTTCCCTATGACACTTCATGGACAAAAGTGGTGTTAGGATGGGAAGGATAGGGAAGCCACACAGAAAGATAGAGATAGGGTTATGCAAGACAGCTTTTTATCCCTTTCTGTTCCTTCCCCCTCAGGGTGGCTCTTTCGAAGGCTGGGATGACATCAGTCCATTATTTGCATGATCTTCCATTTAGAGAGTTCATGGACAGACTATGTCCTTACATGGTATATTTTTCTGCTTCGCTCTTGTGAAGTTTCTACTTAGGGAATTTTCTTCTGTTTGCAAATCAAAAGGCCCTACAACATCATCAAAGCATATCCAGTAAAATGGACCACTAGTTTCATCTAGTTGCAGTAGGGAACATAGCAAAGTGTTATTATGGCCCACATCACAATTCACAGCCAACAGTGTCCCGTCAACTCACAGATATTGCAGTTAATCTATGCAGTCTACAAATAACCCCACTCCGGTTCATTAGATGCAGTAAGTTAACTCAAATATCAATATATAGTTCTCTCCTCACCCCAAGAACACAACACTCCAGTGGGGATTTTATGTAACATTCTTCTGCAGAGTTGCTTCATCCCCAAAAGAAATTGGTAGAGATTAGTGTAACTCAAAAATAGGCAGAAATAAAATGGAATATTATACAGCCATTAAGTAGTATTTTTAAAGGAAAATTTAAGATCTATGGTAAATTATAATTATGGCTCATTATATAATCATATTAAATAACAGGATTGAAAACTGCCCCCCAAAAATAGGCAGAAAATATGCAAGCAAGTGAAACGACAAATGTCTAGCAGTGTCTGAAATGTCTAGAAGCAAAGGCGATTGTTGTGGGGTAAATGTCTTTAATATTGATAGAAAAAGAAAGTTCAGAATAGGACATCAGAAGCAGAGGCTGCGAGAGATGATCTGTATACTAGAGCCGGATGCTGTGCTTCAGAATCTGCTGGGAAGTTGTGGGGCTGTCGCTTCCAGTGTCCCCTGCTGCCCCGCACGTTGACTTAGAAACTATTTAATGGATGCGTAAGGGAAAGAAAGAAAAGGGGACCCGCGTTCATTTCCCCTAAACTCTCAAGTTCAAATGCGGAGGAATGGCCGCGTCTTGCCAGAGGAGGAAATCGGAATCCGATAAAGGACTGATAAAGATGTTCCTCCTTCGCCCTGGGAAGCCGGCACCCAGGCCCGACGTGTGGACCGCCAGACTCGCTGACGGCGGCCCTTCCCGAGGGGCCGGGCGCGCCTGCTGGAAGGTGGGAGGCGGAGTTGCCCCGCTCCTGGGATGAGACCAAAGGAATGAGTAATTGGAAATTCTGTAACAGAGACCCTTCTCCCAAACCCTACAGCCCTTTCACCCCCCACAACCCCCTGCCGAGAAGCAAGAGGACTGGAGACAGACGTGGTGGAGCGAGAGTCATGTTCCGGAGAGGGAAGTGAAATAAAGAGGGCGGCACCCGGGGGGACCTGTGCGTCACTGAGGGGGAGAAGCGCGGGAGCACGGGGCGGAAAAGGAGAAGTGGGAGCGAGAAGCCGCAGGGGGCGGCCGCGGAGCGCGGGTGGGGGCGCCGCGCAGCGCCCGAGCCTCCTGCCTTCGGCCGCGCCCGGGCAGCCCGCAACCTCCCGGCGCTCGCCCGACCCGCGCTCCGGATCCGGCCGGCTGGTCGCGCCCGCCGCGCACAGAATGTGGCAGCGGACACGGCCCCGGCCCCGCGCGCCCTGTCTCTGGGCGCTGGCGCTGCTGGCCCTGGGCGGCGCAGGGCTGTGCCACGCCGACCCTCAGCCCAGGCACCCCGCGCGGCCCAGCGCCAGGAACAAGTAAGTGCGCGGCCTCTCCTTGCCCCAGGACGGCCCACAGCCGTGGGCCCCCGCCTGCCCTTCCCCGACCGGCCGTCGGCCCCGAAGCTGCCCTGCCGAGGCGAGGAGCCGCAGCCGGGGTTCCCCCTCGGGCTGCCGGGGCGGCGCCTCTTCCGCGGTGGCCGCGCGCTCCGCGGCCGGCGCGGGGCGTCCTGGGCAACCTCGCCCTCGCCTCCAGCAGTGCTGCCTCCGGGGCCGTGGGGCGCAGGGAGTGTCCCGCAGAGCAGGGCAATCAGGAAACTCCCCCCGGGAATTACTGGGGCCCCTGGGGCCGTGGGGGCTCTTCCCGTCTGTCTTTTGTGGGATAAAGGTGCACTCTCTCCAAAGGCGCACCCGCGCACCGTCCGAATATCTGCTGGTCGTGCTCCCGCCTCCGCGAGGACGACGGGCTCCCCGACCCTCGCGCGGTCAGCCGCCGGGTCGGCTCGTCCCGTCTCCCCCAGCCTCATTGTTCTCCCGGTTTATACCGTGCCCTTCTCCCTCTCTCTCCACCCCAGGAACTGGTGCGCCTACATCGTGAACAAGAACGTGAGCTGCTCGGTGCTGGAAGGAAGTGAGAGTTTTATTCAGGCTCAGTACAACTGTGCCTGGAACCAGATGCCCTGTCCGTCCGCGCTCGTGTAAGTCCCGGGAGCCGAGGGGCGGGCGGGGCTCGCCGGGGCCGCGGGGGTGGGGTCAGAGCGCTGGGCTCCAGCCGCTCAGTAAATCTCTTCCAGCGGGTGAAAACTCAGCAGCTGAAAGGTTTGAGCGCTGAGCAGGGTACCAGGCTCGCTGGGGTATTTAAGGAGCGTGTTTTGCCTGGAGTCAGCGTTGAGGATGCACCGGCCTGGCCATCGCCGGGCATAGGAGGGGACGAACAAAGCCACCGACCTCCACTTCTCTCTCTCTTTTTCTTTCAATTTTATTACTAACGTAAAGCAGCTGGACCTAATTAGATCCATATTGTGTGTTCTGGGGCACAGAGAAGATTCCAAAATGTATACTGCTGAAAACTTACATGTAGGATTAGCTGAGAGGTTTGCTCTAGCCAGTGTTCTAGAACAGGCGAGTTTTGTCCAAATGTCCCCATAAAACTGACCTCTTGGGCTTCCCTGGTGGCGCAGTGGTTGGGAGTCCGCCTGCCGATGCAGGGGACACGGGTTCGTGCCCCGGTGCGGGAAGATCCCACATGCCGCGGAGTGGCTGTGCTCCGCAGCGGGAGAGGCCACAATAGTGAGAGGCCCACATACGGCAAAAAAATTAAAAAAAAAAACTGACCTCTTCAGTTGTAGGTGTTGTAGATTTCTAAAGTCCCCAGGAACAACTTGCTTGAAAGTGTGCGATTGTTGTTTTTTCAAGTTAGATTTGGGGGATTCAGCTAAGTGGTTGTCAGGAGAGAATGGTCCTTAAAGACCAAGGGAAGAATTAATCTTCTTCCTTATAAAGGTTTCACTGTCTTAAAAAAAAAAAAAAAAAAGAGGAAGTGAAGCAACGGAGTACAGATTTTGTTACATACATCACGTTCATTCAGTTGTCATCTGGCAAGTCTTTGTGTTTTTGTGTAAGCCAGATATCAGAGGATGAGCTGATGTGAATCAGTGGCTGTTGGGGAACGCATGTGATGGTTGAAATTAACTGTTTTCCCCTAAGAATAAACTGATTGTCTCAGAGCACAGTTGTCTTTACAGCAAAGAATAGCCAGTAGGCGGATCTGTCTTTGGCAAAGCAGAGGGACAGACTGCAACTTGTGCTGCAGGAAACCTTATGTCAGAAGGCAGTAGATGAGCCTTCAAGCCTATGAGGTGGTAGTGGTCCCTGGATCATTGCACATGGGCTGGGGTGAGAACTGAAACGGGGAAGGGATAATTCCTGTTAAGCAAAAACAAACAAACAACCCCCCTTCCCAACAAAACAAGCAGAAACTTAGAAGAGATCCCCCACTTGCTGTAGGCAGAGCATGAGGTCAGAATTGAATTGCTCTCTGTCACACTGAGTTGTGTAACCTGTCGGAGGGCGCAGTGCTGTCACACTGCCTGTGTCTCTGGTTGGAAGGGGCATTGAACACGGAATTTCCCAGGTGTTACTGAAGAGCCCAGGAGCCTGAGTAACTCCTCTCAATTCACAGGTGTTGTCAGGTTTTCATTATTTGATCCTTAGAACCTGAGACCTGTGGAAGTGAAGGTTCTTGGGAAACTCAGCCTGGAGTCACTGAGGGATCCTTTCCGGGTGTGGGACGTGCAGGCATGGAGGCTGGCAAGATGCTTGAGTGAGGAGTGAAGTTTAGCCGCTGGTGACCGTCGAGTGTCTGGGAGAAGCAGGTAGGAGGAGCCCGTGAGGACTTCACAGAGTCGGAGCAGAGCTGAATTGTTAGGGGCGGTGGAGGGAACGGAGGAAGAGAAGCCAGGAGAGGAGAGAGAGCAAAGCCAAGACTTCAGAGGAGGGAGCTCCATCTTAGAGACCCCGGGAGGAGAAGCCCGGAAGGCCGAGGGGTCCAGAAAGGCCAGGGCTTTTAGGCAGCAGGAAGATTTGCTTATGTAGAAGGAGGCAACTTCAGGTCAGCGGGGGGTATAGGCCTTGTAACTTGGGTGAGATTCAGGGTGTGGGTCGTGAGGAAACCCCTTTACCAGGAATCAAATGTGTTGCAAAGGTTTTGGTGGAAAAAGGAAGTTGAGCAGGTGAAGAATTAGAAAACTCGGCATGTTTTAGGACAAAAGTGAAAAAGCCAAAGGGAGAGACTGAATATGCTCTGAGACTGAGGGGAAATCGTCAGGGAAACGAGGGGTTCGATGGGGAAGTCCTGCAACAAGAGGAGAACTTCCGAGCTCGGTGAGGCGTTGGGCGCTCAGCCACCATGGGCTGTGGGGACCTAGCACGGCTGTGCTTCCAGAAGGCTTAGACGATGCTTCGTTTGCATATATGGAGAGACTTAGATTCCAGACTGTGAATTTGGGTGTCGTCATGTGAAACTGGGAGCAGAGAGGGTTTCTGTGTGATTTGTGGACATTTTGAGTAATCACTTTCCTGAAGCCGTAAAGAACCTTCTGTGTGTCAGGCACTGTGTTAAGGCTGTTCATTCCATATGTTAGTTTAATTCTTGCAACATCCCTTCAAGATGAATACCACTGTCCCCATTTTACCAATGAATAAACAAGGCAAGAAGTTCCCTGACTTTCCTGTGGTCACCTGACAGGTAAGTGGCTGAGCTGCCTCCAGACCTGGCCTTTGTGGACCAGCCTCTGTCCCTGTAACAATAGAGAGAGACAGACAGACACAGAGAGAGAGAGAGTGTGTATGTGTGTGTATTTGAGTGTGTGCCTTCTGTCGCTAGCACACTGCTCAACTACTAGGAACATTTCCAGCTTCTTTCACGGAAGGCAATTCCCATATCAAAGTGAGTGAGCATCGTTGGTCTGTGTGCAAGCATGTGCACGTGTGTTCACGCCCATGTGCTTTACTCCCTTTCCCGGGGGTCATTTGTGAGGATACAGTGGACCACATCATTTTTCACACTGTCCACCATGCTGTGCAGTTTCTTATGTTATGAAAACACTGGCCGATTTGCTTTCTTTGTTTGGGTTGTTAGGCTGGTTGTTTAAAGGATACTACTAGGGAGGCGGGAGTGGTGGAGCTTGAGACATTGGGGAAGCCACACCTGTGCCCCCCGGCTGAGCCACCACCTTGAAACTTGTCACGGGGGGATGGAGGTAAAAGTATGCTTCCAGAAAAACCATTCAAAGCTCGTGTCCTGGGCTTCCCTGGTGGCGCAGTGGTTGAGAGTCCGCCTGCCGATGCAGGGGACACGGATTCGTGCCCCGGTCCGGGAGGATCCCGCGTGCCGCGGAGTAGCTGGGCCCGTGAGCCATGGCCGCTGAGCCTGTGCGTCCGGAGCCTGTGCTCCGCAACGGGAGAGGCCGCAGAGGTGAGAGGCAATCTCGTGTCCTGATGCTTGTGAGGTAGTGATACCATTCTTGTGTGCAGAGAATTCTTAATTCTTATGAAGACTTTTCTGTCACTAGGAATTTAAAATGAGGGCTCTCTCTGTCGGTCTGTGTCTCTTGCGCACTAGATGTGAGGAGCGGTCTGGATCCCCAAAGCACACGATTGTGTCGACAGACACCGCTTTGTCTTCCCTCAGCTAATTCCTAAGGGTGGCTGATCGGACCTGAAGAGGAGATGAGGGGAATTATCTGGTGATAATTATCCGCTGAGGAGGAAGGGCAGCTGCTGTAGACTCTAAAGTAGCATAAAGTTGGGTCATGATTTACCATTTACTCCTAATTCTTAAGATGGATCTAAGGACTTTTTCTCCCTCTGAGATCATTGTTTCACTTTACACTTCCACGTTAAGGAAGGCATAAATCTTTTAAAATTTCATTGCATTGAAGAGTTTTTCTGATTCATTGTAAAAAAAAAAAAAAAAAAAAACCTCTGGCAGCTCCGCCCGTTTGGTAGACTGTCACTGTCACACTGCCCCACACACACCCACCACGTAGCACTTGGGATGGTCCTTGGGGATCCACATCCGAGTCTGGGGTCTCCGCAGCGGCACCTGAGCATGGAGAGGGTCTGTCTTGGTCATGGGCTGGTTTTAGGGACACCTTTTGGGAGACATGGGGATGTGGGCGACTTAGAATTCTTCCTGTGGGGTGGGAATTGGGCAGGTTGATGTTCTTGGGAGGATTGATACAGTGTCCAGGGCTGACTTGGTGAGAATCTTTCCCCAGAGCACATCCTTGTAACGTGATGAGCCCCTTTATGTTCCTTATCTTCCGTCTTTACAGCAACCCCGGGGCATTATTCCAATTTTACAGGAGGGCATGTAGTCAGGAAGTAGCAGAGCCTGGACCCAAAACCAGGTCTGTTATTTCTAAGCCTTAGGCTCTTCCCACCCCACACCCCTGCACCCCTTGCTGTCTAAACCCACACCCTCTGAGGAGCGGCCCGAGGGGGTGTGTGTGTGTGCGCGACCATGTGTGATGCTGTGGCACTGACAGCTCTGGTGTGATGGGAGGGGGAGGGGAGGGCCTGAGCTCCCTTAGAGCCCCCCTCCACGTGGGCTGGCCATGCTTGGGTGCACCGCTGGTGGAAAACAGCACTGTCTTTCTTCTCCTTCCTGGACCCTCCCACTCAGCTTGGTCCAGCTGACTGCTGTTAGTATTTGAGGCGTTCGGGGGCGTCCAGTGTGCAGGGCGTCTCGCTGGTAAGAACACGGAGGACCCCAGATGTAAGGCAGGGTTATTCCCCTGTATTCACTTCCCTCTGATACTGCAAACTCACTGGGGTTTATCAGCATCCACCCAGCCCGGCCCCCACCCCCTTTCTTGGGTGTGTGGAGTCTTGGTGAAATTTTTCCTAATAGCTCTTAAAAAAAAAAATCTCATCAGTCAGGCAGGGGAGCTGGGTGAGGCCCACTCGAGGAGCCTTTGCTGCTGTGATAACACAGAGGGAGAATTTGTGAATTTGCAGCAGGTGTGAGTTCCGAGTGCCGAGTTTCCAAAACTCCTCTAACCCTTAGATTCTAGGGGGAGCAGATGGTCATTCATTTGGAAGAAACGTTTTCTATTAGGGAGCAATCTCAGCCAGGAAAAGCTTAAAAAGAGAAAAACACTTGAGATTGCGGCGGGGGGGGGGCGAAATGAGGACTTACATCTTCTAGAGCCAATTCTACGTGTTTTATGTCTCTAGAAAGAGAATTCCTTTCGATTCAAAATGTGCCTTTTGTGTGTATAGCTTTGAGAGTGTCTCTTCCTTCTGTTTTTTAGCCAACGTCTTGTGATTCGTTGGCCGTGACGAGCGCTTGCTCCTTGGTACCGAGGGACCCCAAATCAAGCCCTGGGGAAGGAGTACCTGCACAGAGGTGCCTAGAGCTGCTTAGGGCCCTGCTGCCTCCCCCTCTTCGGGTCCCTGTCCTTACCAGCCTTTTCTGCCTCCCTGGGCTTCTCAGGCCTTCCTTTCAAGTGGCTTTGCTCTTTTGCTTTTTTTCCTCTTTTCCTCCTCCTGGGGTCCCAGTAGATAAGATGCTGTGTTTGTAGAGCCCTTTGGTGTTTCCAGAACATTTTCATGTTCATTATTTTATTTTATTCTCATCACAAGCTCAGACAGGAGATTAGGTAGGGCAGAGACTGAGGTCTTGGAAAAAGAACTTTATGCTTATGGGCTATACTTTCTAGCTTTCTTATCTTGGAGAAGAATGAATAGGATTCACATAGCGGTTATGGCCTTAAGGAAAAGAGTTTGTTTTTGTGAAACCTCATGTTATTCCCATTAACCGGTCTTCCTCCAACGATCCGTGATTCCACCACTTTGGCACTTGGTCATTGAATTAAAGTTCTGAGACAGCGAGAAAAGGGGAGATGGCGGGGGAAGGTCAGGGGGCAGGTGTCCCCTGAGGTAGTCCCTCGAGGCTGGCTGGTGTGGCCAATGTGTTCTGGAAGAGGAGATAGAAAATGCGGCTTCTGGCCCGACCTCTACCACCGCTGAGCTGTG